TCAAGGGGTACTGGCTTCCGCTTAAAGTCACCAGTTGCATTAGCCCTAACAAGTGTCAGACTGTCTTCTGAAGCTTTGAAGCCAAGCAGTGACATCTCTCTAGCTACAAACATTTCCATTCATGAACTTAGCTCTTCCGGATGACTTGCTGCAGCTTCTCCGGCAGCACGTGCTGCTGCCCCTTGCACTTTAATGCTATGGGGACAGCTTCTTAAATCTCAAGAATCAACCAACCTATGCTAGCTTCATACTTTTCTCATGCAGCTTCTTCACTCTCACACTTAGTGGCCTCTGTAGGGGTGTTAATTGGACTAATTTCAATATTGCCAGCTCAGGGTATAGGAAAGCCCGAGGAGAGGGAGAGAGAGAGAGATGGGGAATGGACAACAGGTGGAACAGTCAAAACACATACATTTATCAATTAGAGGTCACCGTCTTTTATGGGTGAGGTTCATGGTGCTCCAATAGTTTTGCTCAATGCAGCTGCCACAAACTGCTGCTTTCAATTTGTTTTTTAAAAAGTCTCTACAAAGTGTCAAAGCAAAGTACAATAAGATAAGGCATACCTGTATATAGGTCTATGTGTTTTTGCCAAAGTAACTTCTGAGGCATTATCTTTCTCAGGTTCTTTTTCAGCCCTACCTTCCCTTGTCTCTTTCTTTGACTCATGATTCAAACATTAGAACTTTTGCTATAAGCCCACAGGTACTAATTTCACTGTTTTCTCTGTTCAGATTGGGTAATTTCTGTTGTATCTTCAAGTTCACGCATTCTGTCCTCCACACTCTGCTGTTCAGCCTATCTAATGAGATTGGTCCATTTTCTGTGTTCTAAAATTTCCATTTGATTCTTCCTTATATCTTCTATTTCTTTACTGAGACTGTTTTATTCGTTTATTTCAATTGCTTATTGAACCTTATTTTTATTTTTTATTTATTTACTTTGAGTCAGAATCTCACTCTGTCACCCAGGCTGGAGCTCATGGCCATCACAGCCTCGACCTGCTGGATTCAGGTGATCCTTCTGCCTCAGCTTTCCAAGTAACTGGAATCACAAGCATGTGCCACCACACCTGGCTAACTTTTTGATTTATTATAGAGATGAGGGCTTGCCAAGTTACTCAGGCTGGTCTCGAACCTGTGGGTTCAGGCAATCCTCTCGCCTCTGCCTCCCAAAGTACTGGGATTACAGACTTGTGCCACCTTGCCCAGCTGAACCTTTTTTTTTTTTTTTTAAATGATGGCTGCTTTAAAATTTTTGCCAAGTAATTCTGAGGTCTGTGTCATCTTGGTGTTTGTTGGTTGTCTTTTCTCACTCACGTTGAGATCTGTCTGGTTCTTGGTATGAAAGCATGACTTTCTATTATATACTGGGCATTTGGATTTTATGTTGAGACTCTGGATCTTATTTAAATCATGTTTTAGTAGTTCTTCTCTGACACCATGCCAGTGGATGAAGAGGGGGTGTGGCATTACTTTTCACTACTGCCAGGTGGGAGTGAAGGTCCAAGCTCACTATTCAGTCTCCTTTGACACTCAGGCAGGAGGAGGGGTGCTTCATTATTGCTTCCACTAGAGCAAGTGGGCTCCACTGATAACAGGGGGGTGGGAAGGTTTATTCCTGTTGGATCAGGGTGGTCTAGCTCCCCACATGGCCTCCACTGACACCATGGCTCCCACTGGACCTTCTCTGACACCACTCCAGCAGGGGTTGGGAGAGGTCTCATTACATCAATTAAACATTTCCTCTTAAAAAAATTCCTTTTTGGAAATTTCTCCTGAAGAAAAAAATCAGAAGATAATTTAGGAATGAAAAGTACCCTCTCCTGAGAAGTCAGATTTCACCTACTTGCACCCAACCAGTGTCTCAGAGGCATGTTTTGAATACTTTCTTCCCACTTTCCTGCCCTGGATTGCAAAAGGGCACACAGCTTTTCTGTACACATTCCTGACGGTACTTTCATTTGAGCACTCTGCAGAAGTTAGCCAAAAGACATGCCTGAACTGGGAAAAGGTTACGAAGGAGGTGAGAACCTTGTGGGTGGAGACTAGAGGCTTTCCTATCACCCTCCTACCTCCTTCTTGACCCCCACAGTCATCAAGCCTCCTGTGTAAACAGCATCTTTTTGGCCCAAGCATCCCAACGAGCAGTATAAACATTACCTCACCTGTAAGGCAGGTGACTGGAACATGTTTATTCATATTATCCATATGGAATATCTGGAAAACACCAAATGACAATCAGGCAGCCTAAGGCCACTTCTAAAGCTGCTTGTTTTCGGAAAACCCTCTAGGGCTGCTTCCCATTAAGTATTCCCTGGCTTGGCCAGTGACCAGAGGCCACAGTTGTTAAGTTCTGGCTGTTTTGTGTATGTGTAACTTATTTGTTTCATCGTTGTTGTATACAACTTTACCAAAACTGACAGTAATAAAGCCTTGTCTTATTAGGGATTATCAAGTCCCTAGATTGGTGAATAAGGGAAGTTTGGAGGCAAGAGGAGGTAATTCTAGAAAAATGGAATATAGAACAGTCAGATATGAGATTTATTTGAAAGTCATAGGGTCTAGTCAGTACACATTCAGCACAGTCTGAAACTTCATTAACAGTAGCATTATGTAATTCAAAATCTTTGATGGCCACAAACCACATGCAAAATGTTACCGCTGGCATGCATACTATGGCCAGCCTACCCCTCCAGGCCTCTCCTTTTTTGAATCTACAGCTATCCTATGCGCTGGCCAAACTAGATGTTTTCTTTGTGGGGCACAGGTCATATATGCCCCCTCTGAGGACTTGTTCATGTTGTTCTCTCCACTTGCAAGGCACTCCCCATCATGTCTGCTTATCAAAACCTTGGGCTCCAAGGCCTGTCTGCTTATCAAAACCTTGGGCTCCAAGGCCTGTAGGGACATCACTGCCTCCAGATGGCTTCTTGGATCTCTCCTAACTGGTATCTCTCTCTTTTGCATCACTTTAGCATCACGGCTTGAACCTCTTTTGGCTCAGTATTATAATACTCAGTAACTCCACAGCCCTTGCCCATCCACCCAGCATACTCGCTGGTCAACAGTTTGCAGGTGTGGAGGCCCTGCAGCATCTTCTATATTAAGGAACGCAGGCGTCACACTACCATATATTGGCTGTGATCTCTCTTCTACAGTCTTTACAAATCTAGTTATTACAATTCTAATAAAGCCCTTTCTCCAGTCTCTGGGCTGTCCTGTCTCTTTATGGGATAAGCTGAAGGCACTTGCTCAAACTCTGCTCACGGCAAAAAGTGACCTTTTCTTCTGAGGACAACATGCATTATCCAAGACGTCATCAAAGTAGTTAATGGGAGTCAATGGCTGAGTCACGGTGATGACTAGATATACAGGAAGTAGTGGGCTGCAAATACACATCGTTGCTGTCCTTAAAGAACAGGAAAGGCAATGTCTACTGCAATGGCCAGATTTCAGCCTGTTCAGAATCACCCATGAGGGCATTAAGTACATACCTGGAAGTAAACTAGAAAAAATATCCAAGATGGTAGCTTTCTTTTTTTTTTTTTTTTTTTGAGTTGGAGTCTCACTCGGTCGCCCAGACTGGAGTGCAGTGGCCGCTCCCGGCCACTGCAGCCTCGCCTGCTGGGCTCCGGCAATCCTTCTGCCTCAGCCTTCCGAGTAGCCGGAATTACAGGCATGCACTACCACGCCCGGCTGATTTTTTGATTTATTGTAGAGATGAGGTCTCACTGCCCAGGCGGGTGGCTTTTAAGTAGAAATCAAGAAGCTTTGTACTACGTGAATATTATTTCCTGTCAGCTGGATTAGAAAAGCCTCTTCATTAATTCAAACTCTACCCAAACCAAAACCATCACTTGTTTTTACTTCAGAACAGATGGCCCGCCTAGGCCCTGGCTTTCTATGATTTGGCCATAGCAAAAAAAATAATAAAAATAAAAATAAAAAACAACACTGAAAATAAGTAAAAGTTGTCAGGGAATAGTCAAATATGAAGCAATATATAAATTCACAACATATAGAAAATAGAATAGTAACTGTGCAAAAGCACAAAACTGGGTACAGCGTTCTACCATTTATTTTAAAAGAGTGTAGAGACTGGAATATTTATAAACACACTAGCAAATACACTTCTTTCAGGGAAGGACACTGTTCACTGTATAACCTATTCAAAGAACATACAAATATATTTTAAACAAACTCAGAGTAAAGGTAACTTCTAATGACTAAAGATCTCTTATTCTACTAGCATGTTTCACTTATTTTTGTTCTGAGAGGGTTCTCTTTAGCGACTGTTAAGAAAGCAGGAAGAGAGCTTATGAGTGTCCCTCCTTGTAGACAATTACAATTGTATGGGCCTAGTGAGACTGAAAAGATTAAACTGGCCTTTTCAAAGCACAGACACCAGATTTCTGTAGGTTCTGGTGCTCAGAAGGTCAGTCTTTTGCTTCATAATATGTTTCCGTGTAGGACTGGTAAAACCTAAGGATGTGATTCTCTAATATGTGGTTAAGTTTTCTGGAAAGCAGAAGGATAAGGACCTGTTAGCTTTAAACTAACTTTACTGCATTTTATGCATATATGTACACACATATAAATTTTCTAAGCTTTCAAAATGTTTGAAATAAAAGCAATTATTTTGAAAATCTTCAACTGGGCAGATAAGTGATGACTGAAATAGAAATAGAAAAGCATAACAAAAACAATAAAGAAAACAAAATGTCCCAAAGTGATTGAGAAAGCCCAGAAGCCACCAAATGACATGAATTCAGGGTAGAGTGACCAAAACAAAGATGTCTGGTCCTCCTCAGCATTCTAATATGCCAACAATTCAAAAATCTCTTCATTGCAAGTAACCTCAGTCTTTGTACTGATAGAGCTGAAAATCATGGAATATGGGGGCAGGAAGAAGAAAAGGAAAGAAATGAGAACTTGCAAAATTGGCAAACATTTTATTAATTCTGATTTATTTTATCCCGTGCTTTGCTTTTTTATACAGAACACTTTTAAATAAATTACCACATAAATGTATAATAAATGTTTCTTTCAGACTCAATTTTAAAAACCACAGTAGCGTTTGTTGTGCCCAAGTTAGAATTATACCAGTATCACCATATGCTGGCACATACAATCATCCCACGGGTGGCTGCAAAATTGGCTTGCAGGAGTGTCTGTCACTCCGATGGGCTGTCACCCCTGGTGGGCACGCAGTGGAGATGAGGAAGGCCAGCCCAGAAGAAAGCTGGGTCTTTTTCATCACCTCTACTCCTTTTTTACTTCCTCGCTGTTCTCCTCACTGAGCTTGAACACAGGAATCTGCTGACCATCCTTGAGTTCTAAGAAAACCTCATCAAGGTGCCACCTGAGAGAAGCCAAAAGTACAGTTTCTCTAATCAACAGAACACCGAGGCAAAGGACATGGCCAAGGGGGGATGGGGTACAGCTGTTTGGAACACCGTCTTAAGTTTTTAAAAACATTATTTTATGTCAGTACCGTGTTAACATACTGCTTTAACATCCTATTATGGGCTCTTATCGTTTTACCAGCACTGATTTCAAGGCAGACTCGCAATGACTGACCGACAGGCAAATGGAAAGGACATCAGGAAGGAGAAGGGGCAGTTTACGTCCCATTTCCTAATTCACACTGACCTTCAATTCCTGGCCTGGAATGCTGCCAACTCTTCCACTAATCCCAGGCTCAGAGGTCAATGAGCCCAGGGTGAGCTAGGTCAGGGCTGTATCAGGGCTGCCTGCTCCTTTTGTCCCCAAGAATTAAAACACAGCCTGGCTAAACAGCAAACATCTCTGAGAGAGGCTTCCCGTGGGGGAATGAGTGGATGTAGCTACTGGCAACCAGACAAGAAAAGCCAATTAACGGGTGGAGAGCTCATGCAAAGAATGTGATGAATAATTCTGGAATAAGAACCCGTGTCTTTATTCACTTATAACAATTTAGGCAGTAGAGATATTTGCAATAACATAGCATCCAATTATTGTAGACCTAGACCATTATAACTGTGAAGTTCTTCAAATTCAGCAGCATAAGGAGAGGACAATTCAGTAGATTGTACTGGATAAATTGTCCAGACTGAGCTAAGAGCCAAAGTACTGGCTTGCTGCCCAGGCCATGAGGCTTTCGGCTTCAAGCTTTGAAAACCAATTCTTCTTATTACCACAATCATTTAACTACAAATGAAAAAGGGAATCAGGATTGTTTCCATCAGGAAGTTCTCCTCCAGTTCCCCCACTCCCATCACTTTCCCTTAATACCTCTGAAAGGGGGCGCTTCTGGTTGAATGGACATAGAGATGGCCCTCTGTCTTGGATCCAGAGATAGGAATCTTCAGCTGTGGGTGTAAAATGACAGGAAGGAGAAATGTAATTGGATACATTTGGTCAAAAGATGACAGAATGATGCTTTCCACGGTTAAGACTGTAAAATGTGATTATCTACAGAATAGGGTTGTTTTCTAACAGCCCAGCTGGAGAATTCACTGGATTTTCCAAATGTCCTGCCCCTCTTTGGATGGTTTGGTGAGGTCAATGGCAGGCCTTCCATTTGGTCAAGAGACCTTAGACGCCAAATGCAATGCTATGAGTACTTGAAGTGATCATTCAGAAATCCACTATTAAAAAGGAACAAACTGCTGACATATGCAACAATGACGAATATTAAAAATATGCTGAGTGAAAGAGCTTTACACAAGAGTACCGTATGATTCCATTTATGTTAAGTTATGCTAGAAAAATCAGAAAAGTGATTGCCTCTGGTGGAGCTGGAGGATATGAGAAGGGCCAACTGGCCTGGAATACAGCACACTGGGTAGGGCATGAGGGAGCTCTCAGGTGATGGGAACAATCTACACAGCTAGATAAGACTTGAGGTCTACAGGTGAATGTATTTGTTGAAACGCATCAGACAGGACACTTGGACTTGTGCCTTTCACAGAATATTAATTTTACTTCAAAACAACAGAACCACAAGCAAATATTAAACTCTAGTTAATGGTATACATGTCAACATGTTTAGAAGTAGACATACACTTAACACATTGAGAAGTGTACAATGTTTGATAATTATATCACAATGATAAAGACAGGTTCATGAAAACAGAAATGCAGAATCCAGGTACCAGCTATATGGGTGTTCACAGCATACATTCTTTTTTCTATATCTTTGAAGGTTTTCATGATAAAATAGAAAAAAGAAGATAAAAGAAGCCCACTGTTTAAAAGGGAGGACTATAACCCACAAATTGGTACATATTTTGACCTGGACCATAAGGAGCAGGCTTTTCTGAGTCAGAGTCCCACTGTCACCCAGGCTAGAGGGCAGTGGCATGGTCACGGCTACTGCAGCCTCAACCTGCTGGGCTCGGGCGATCCTTCTGCCTCAGTCTTCCAAGTGGCTGGGACAGGCATGTGCCACCACCCCTGGCTAATTGTTTGATTTATTGTAGGGACCAGGTTTCGCCATGTTGCCATGACTGGTCTTGAACTGCTGGGCTCAGACAATCCTCTTGCCTCAGCTTCCCAAAATGCTAGGATTACAGACGTGCACCACTGCACCCAGCCTAAGAGCAGGCTTCAAAGAAAGTACGTGAAGGCCTGTTTGGGAAGGACAGCACGGGTAGGACCAGTTTGTTCTCTACTCCAGTCATCACGGGCCAGGCACATGCCCCACAGGGATGCTGCCCAGGTGCTGCCCTGCCCATGCCTGTGGAGTTAGCCTGAGAGCCTCAAAACCAGTCACTAGGTATTTGTTTATGCTCCAATTTAGAGAAAATAGAGGATGCAATGTTTTTGGTCTCAGTGAAAACTCAAGAGGGTAAGAGCTTTACGAAGGGGATTCCGTGTGGTAACAAGGAAGCCCGTCATTAGGCAGGCACCTCCCAGAGTGCCTTCCTGTGCCCCAGGTGATGGCCAAAGGCACGTTCTCCTGGTACAGGAGATGGAGCATCTCCCCCCATTCCAAACTGCGACCTAGAGAAAGAACTACTTAGGTATACACACACACTTGGGTTTTTCAAAATTCTCTCCTTTCTTTCATTTAGACACACTATAAGAAAGACACAGGCTCCATTATCCAAGTGAACAAGCAGTCACCTAGTCACACTCCAAAAACCATGGTGGCTCATGCCTATAATCCTAGCACTTTGGGAGGCGGGAGGACTGTCTGAGCCCAGGAGTTTAAGACCAGCCTGGGCAACTTGACAAGACCTCATCTCTACAATAAATAAAAAAATTAGCCGGGCGCAGTGGCACACACTGTAGTTTCAGCTACTTGGAAGGATGAGGTGGAAGGCTTATCTGAGTCCAGGAGGTCAAGACTGTGGTAGCTGTAATCTTGCCACTATACTACAGCCTGGGCGACCCAGAGTGAGACTCCAATCCCCACCCCCGAAAAAAAGAACCATTCTTCGGGGTTCCACTTTTTGAATCAAGCTTCGGCTCTTCCCTGAGAATTATAAAATTAAGTAACAGAATATGCACTGAGTATCTTTGGATGCTTTTTACAAAAGAAAGAAAGGACAAGGACAGAAGTAAGAGAGACCAGCTTCTGAACCATGGACAGCTGTGCTTTCACGGGCGGACACAGTCCTTTACAGGCTTGTTCCTTCATGGCCAGACCTTGCCAGAGATTAAGCAGGAGTTTTTGTAACCAAAGAGCTGGTAGGTGGTGATCAGTTCATGCATACATTTGGGGAAAAAAGTCCTTCAATATGACAATCACCTCATGAACAACCAAAACTTCTCATCTCTGGACAAAATAAGGAACTACAAATAAAAAACTCTAGAATAATAAGAAGGCATGTGTGTATATGGGCATCCTTATAAACAGTTGCTTATGAAGGCAGTAAGTGAAGACCCTTAACGAATGTCAAAACCACTCCACAAACTGGAAGACAAGGGCTGGGGCTCCAGGTGGCTCTGAGGCAGCAGACTTAGAACTGTCACTGCAGAGTCACAGCACTTGGCAGCAATGGAGGCCAGGACCTGGTCACATCCTACATAGTCATGGCACTGCCAAGCACCCTGGGTTCAGGAAAGCCCAGGAAGCTGCCCTCTCAGCACTGGGGCATGACAGAAGCCGGGCCAAAGCGAAAGCTGGACCTGAGCAGACCAAGTTCCACACCAGAATCACCAGCACTTCACCCACGCGTCACTCATTGAGTCACTGGGTCACCAGACTGTGAAACTAGGTGCTACACCCATATGCCTCAGCAAAGGTGCCATAGCAGAGGTGTCCCGAGCACCGAAGCAGGCCCCATGCTCTGTGTTGGGAGCAAAAGGACCTAACCACTGGCCTCTCCATGTCCTCAGGCTTGCCAGCATCCAGTTAGGTGACCAGAGACGGGAAGCAGAAGGGCTGCACTGCACCATGGGAGAAATTCAGTGGGAATGCACACAAAGCCACTAGGCACACAGGTAGCACGCCACACATGTCCTTTCCCCCTCCGGGGTACCCTTTCTCACTCTGTGGCATGGCCATCTTTCTACTCACCCACGCTGAACACCAGAGCATCACCTTTTGCTCTCCCCTCTCCTGATGTCTATTGCCAAGTCCTGTCACACAGATAACACAATGGCCATTGTAGCCACAGCTCTGGTCCATGCTCTCACCACTGCACACCGGTACAGCCACATCGTCTTTTTTTTTTTTTGAGTTGGAGTCTCACTCCATCGCCTAGACTGGAATGCAGTGGCACGCTCATGGCCACCCCGGTGTTGACCTGCTGGGCTCCGGCGACCCTCCCGCCTCAGCCTTCCAAGTAGCTGGAACTACAGGTGAGCGCCACCATGCTCGGCTAACTTTTTATTTATTGTAGAGACAAAGTCTCACCAAGTTGCCCAGGCTGTTCATGAACCTGTGGGCTCAGGCAATCCCCTAACCTTGGCCTCTCAAAGTGCTGGGATTACAGGCTTGAGCCACCACGCCCAGACCACACTGCCTTCTTAAAGGTGGCTCCCCACATCCAGTCCCTGGGCATTGCCAATCTACACAAATTTACCTTCTTTTAAAATGAGATCAAATATTTTTATCAGAATACTTGAGCATGAATGACTTCTGTAGCTAGAAAAAACTCTCATTAGAGCTGTGTCCATTAAAACCAATAACAACAAAAAATAAAGAAGGGGGATCATCTCACTCTTACCCTCCAAATATTCACAGACTTCTGCTGCCACAGTCAAGGGCACACACCTGATGCGAGGACACTGTAGCTCCCTGGTGGCCCAGCCCCTCATACCCGCCCACAACCACTCGCCCACCTGGGCCCCGCAGGTCACCCCGAGAGGGACACAGTGAGGCGCAGGCTGAGGTTTAGCCTGACGTTCCTGTTCCACCTTTCAGTCTTCACAGCTACCTCTCAGTCCTCTAACCACTCCCTCCCGGGCCTGTGCAAGAGTAACAACATTTGCTTCACCCCATCTTATTCGGGAATGTTCACTGTCCACTCCCCAAAAGATTTCTGCATCTCCATATTCCACACATACCTTGGAATCACTCTTCAAACCAGGGTATATACTCAAAACATTTTTGTTAAACAGAAGAACCAATGTGTTTTATATTCAAGAGAATTTGATCAAGCTGAACTATACAAAACAATAGGATATAGCTCAAAAAATGGCATTCTGTGGAAGAAATATAAATAGACTTTAAAATCAAAGTTTAAAGAGCTGGTTATATTTGCATGAGCACTGACTAGATATAGTTGTACTTCAAGTTCAAAGCCAAAGTGACGGCAAACCACTGCTGGTCATGTGTATACTTTCAGTTCAAGATGGCAACCTTAGCATACCCACTGTGTCCTGACACACCAGTTCCCCAGAGTGGAAGAAAAACATATGAAAACAATGCATAATAATATAAAATATACTCATATAAATGAAATAAAAATCCATAATAATTTTTTTAAATGCTTTTTTTTAAAGATGCTGAACCTAAGAGGTAGTTTCCGTTAGTAGACTTTTCCATCCCAAATCCCTACCTCCAGCTTTCTCCAGCAGCTCCTCCTCTCCCTCAGCAGACACCTAGCCCACCGCCTGCAGGGAGAGCACATTACCTTGGCATCGGCGATGTCCACGAAGTTGTGCTTGTCAGTGAGTCGGAGATGGTGAACGTTGAGAGGAGCCCCCAGAGCCTCCTGTGCCTCGGGGTGGCCATGCAGCTGCTCCAGCGCCAACTGGTAATACGAAGCCCTGGAAAAAGTGTCTAAGCAGGAAAGAGATTTTTTTCTTTACTAAACTTGGTCAGGTAGAGTCTACCCACAGAAAGTTAAATAATATAGCTGATGTACAGGGTGCAAACAGAAATAGAAATGTGAAATTTGTGAATGAACCGTCTAAATTGTCCATTTTACAGCCTCAAAAACCAAAGCACAGACAGGCAGTACATACAGGATGTGCAGATTCTTTCTGTGCCTCAATGTCTTCATCTCATCTTCTTACTTCGCCCACTGCCTCATCTCTACATCTGAGGGGTCTGATCAGCTCTTCTCTAAGCTTTCTCTTAGGTCTAAAGTCCTGTGATTCCATGACTTACTCAAAGTGGCACAACTGGTTCAAGGCAAAGCTGGGGTCAGAAAACATAACATCCAACTTCTGAACCTTGCTCCTTCCACTAAGATGAGGCACAAAATAAGCCAGAAAACCCTCAGGCCAAGAAATGGGATGTGAAAATGCTCACTTGTCAAGTTTACAGTTTCAACATTTCAAGCGGAACTGCTCTCAGTCTCAGGAACCCTTCTTAGCCCAAAGGCTTCTGGAAACCCCAGGAAGCACCTCCTTGAAGTACAAAGTGCAGTCGACTGCCCAAGGGAGAGGGGAAAGGCAGGCTTCCTAAGTAGAGTATTCGATTCGGCCACAGAAAGAGCTTCCCTCCTGCAAGTGCCACCACAGTAAGTCAGGGGAAGTTGGCCTGAGCCTAGAGAGGCCTAGGGAATGCCTTACCTGTACTACTTCCCAGGACTGGGGCTGCAGGGAATGCAGTGGGCATGAACAAGGTGACTGCCATGGCAGGAAAAGAAGGGGCAGGAGCTGGGTCCAGACAGCTAGGGTTTACGAAGGATTTCTATGGCTAGGCACTGTTCTCGGTATTTCACATACTTCACAATTCACAGCATCTCAACAGCCCACGTGGTGTGAGATTCACTCAACTCTCAAAACCACCTTATTATGCACAGGCAGTAAGATTAGCCCTCCTCACACAGACAAGGCAACTAAGGCCTAGGACGGACGACGGACTGACTCCCCCAGAAGGCCACACAGCTGGTCAAAAGCTGGAGTAGAGACTCAACCATTCAACCCAGGCTGTGGGCTGCAGAGCCCAGGTCTCACTCAAATGGCTGAGCTCTGTTGGCTGACTCTAGCCTAAGGGAGAAAGGTTGTCAGACCAGAAGACTGAACCCTGACACAAAAATGCTCCCATTCCTGTCATGCCTGCCCTATTGCTTTGGCAGAGGGAAGAGCAGGCCGAGTTATCCAGTCTAAACATCCCAGGGAACACTCATCTCAGGCTACCTCCAGACTCAGGGACCCCGGGCCAGCTCTGCAGGAAAGTGGAGAATGGGTGGAGAGGACACCATCCTCTGTCTGCTTGTCTGCTGGTGACACTCACATCCTGGGATGAAGCAAAAATGCTGCAGAATCGTTGAGCTGCCAAGTTGGGCAGGGATTAAAGAAGCCTCAAAAATTGTCCACATAGAAAACACTCTGCTGCTTGAAGGAGCATTGAAATGACCTTAAATGTCTTGGCTGCTGACAATAATTGTGGCTGTCTTTACAAATTCAAATTTGGGTGCAGTGATGCTAGAAGTTGCATCTGTTGGGATTCTGAACATCATGGACTCTGCTTTTATTTTCTGCCCCTGCCGGAGTCCCTTACGCAAGATCCCTCCTCCATTGAATCAACAGCAAAGAATGAAGTGTAAAAAAGGCTGACATCACTTGAGAAACAGCCACAGTTTTCCCCACCTGTGAACCATCTGGTATTCCCCTTCCTTCTGTTCTCTCTTTATGTAATCTCAGAATCTTGATGGATCCCCTGTGTGTTCACTGGAGTGAAAGCCCATCTTGCTTTGCAAGGCTTCTTATGCAAATAAGTCCTGGACCCTTTATTTGTACTTGTTGCTCCTGGGAAAACTGGGATTATAGGAAAAGGAGGAAGCTACAGCCCGTGAAAGGGTGGACTGGCTTTTAAAACAGCCCTCTCCTCCTTTCTCTAATCTGCTGAAAACATCTCAGATACTGCCTTTGATTGAGGAGCAGGAGAACTCAGAGGAGGCCGTGCCTCAGGCGGCTTGCAGGATACTCACTTTGTATAAGGTAATACACAAGGGCCCAGCTCCCAGCAGCTGCACTGCCAAAAAGGACCAGTTTTCCCAGAGGTACTGACATCCTGCTTCCTGGAGACTTAAAAATAAAAGATACAAATTTATTGTAGGATTCAGTTTTGTGCCAAGGGCCTTAGCCTAGATTGGGCCCCTAAGGAAAGGAGCACCAAGGAAGAAGCCAGCAGGAAGGCGAGGCCGACCTGCTGGCTGCCTCCCTCATTTGCTTTCTTTCCGAACGCCAGGGCTGGTTCTGGAGCCAAACTGAGTGCCCTCCCGGGGGTGCCCTCTGAAGTGGCCTGTGTCCAGGAACCATGCTGCGGGGGCCCTGCCGCCCCCAGCCGGCCAAGCACAGAGCAAGCATTCAGCCCCACCATCCTGACAGACAGAACCCAGCCTGTGTGCCAAGCTCCGCGTGGCCAGGAAGCACAACCACTTTGTCTCAGGCCAACTGGTAAACAGGAAGCTTATCCTTTTGTGGCAAGAGCTGGTCTTGTAAGCCTGCGAATGGGCTGGAGCTGTCACTGGCTGCTTTCTTTCATATTTTGAAAAATGCCCCACCCCCTGGATAAGGAAACCTTGGTTATGACTTTCAGGCTGAATGAACAGATGGAGCGGTGCCAGTTCAGCAAATACAGCACACCACATCCACCCTGGTGTTAACTCCTGTCCCCTGAAGGCCCAGGTGGGGCTGGGAACAACACGTGGGCTCCAAGGAGCCAATTCTCCTTCCTGATGGCCATTTAACCACTCACTGCTCACACAGGCCTAGGCCTTTCTGGAAAGTTGTTAGATACCTAGCCATAAAACATAGTAGAACATTGGCTAAAGGGTAGGACATGACAGGACTGGGGTCACAATTCAAATGCCACAGGGCTAGACAGATCACATAAAAGAGAGCTGTCACTGCAAAGTGAGGAACACAACAAAGCTCAGCCAACTGGGCTGTTTCAACCTGGCTCCAGCTAACTATGGTCATGTGGGCCAGGTTTCAATGGACCCTACAGTCTTTCAAGAGGTGCCAGAAAGTAGGTCTGTAATTCAAAATTGCCTAGATTCTAAATGTTGACAACCAACTTTAAAAGAGGGGGGGCTGACAAACACATTTGTGAATCAGATTCTTTCTGTGGGCTTTCAATTTGCTTTGACTATCAGGACATCTTCACCCTAGGTGAAATTTAGGTAAATTCCTGTTTGTCTTTGCTAACGTTTCTCCAAAATGAAAAGAGATTTTGGAAAGAGACAGACATTTCAGTTTTAGATGAAGAAAAAGGAAATCTTTAAATGTGTGTGTCCCCATTTAAAGGTTTAACCTTAGACTATAATTGTGCTCCTTTAAAAAAACAAAGCTTTTGATGTGGCCGAAAGGGGTCAGAGAAAAAAAATGGGGTATAAAACGAGTTCTTCCACTGGCTGATCTGTGAGAAAAGGTAAACACATTCTCATCATCTGCTTCTCTACCTTCCAGAACATAGACAGTAATAACAACTGTCTCCTTATCATTTCTGAAACCCTGAAGGTAAACTAAATGAGCCCACAGAAACTCTGTTGGAGAAAGTTCCTCACATAGACATTCTCTCTAAGAACTAATAACTAAACACGCCCTTGGATTGGGCTAAAGTCAGTCAGTTCTATATTTAAATAATATTTAATACAGGTGTACGTATATAAAGGGCTTTGATCAATTTAACAAATTAGGGAGTGTGAAATTTTAGATCATCTTTGTATCATTTACTTATATACTGTTTTGTTCAACCAAGAAAAGTCTGGTGAAAGCCTAACAAATGTACAGCAACTGCTGTGAGAGTTTTGGCTGGTTCCATATAATATGTAAGAATATCAAAGTCAAGCACAAAGTCAATTACAGTAATGTGATCTGGGAAAAGCCATTTAGCTCTCATAATGAAAATGGGCAGAGTATCTCCAAAGAATGTATTAGTCAGATGCTGCTTTCTTTGAAGAGAGCTCAACAGGGTGGGGCAGCCACACTGAGTGAGTTCTGTAGAACTTCCCACAGTGTTACAGCTTCTAAAGCCAGCATGAGACTCGAGGAAAAATACATTCTGAAACAACACAAAAAATACCCATTCCATGAACACTGAAGACTTGAAGAAGCCTTTAGCTATTAAGGAGTGACTCTCACCTATTATCTCACCTGAGAATACCCTGGCAGGCCCTAATGGGGAACTTGGCCCTGGAACATTCCATTACCTTTCACCAGTTGATCCCACAACTCTCTTGAAGTCATCAAAGGCAAACTGTTCTGCAATCAGAAAAGATTTTACATTAAAATCATTTTTTACCCTGAATTGTACCCCACATATTTAAAATTAAAAAAGAAAAAATTTAATCATTTTTTCAAACCCAATTCTCTCTGACTTCTAGTCTCATGTAGTCAAGATTTATTACCAGGCTTTAGAACATGAGCAAAAAGTTAGATTTAAACTCTAAAACAAGCCTCGTCTGTAAAGGGCCCTGGTTTTTCCCCATCCCTTCTGCCAAATTAGGAAGAAAAAACAAAGCCTGCTGGTTTCCTGCTGTGTACTATGCACCTTTTGTTGCAGAAAAACACGGGTGTGGGCGGGGGAGGGCACACGCTGGCTGCCTGTGCTTTGACCACAGCACAAACCTGGGGCCAATCAGTAGGAGGCCAGACCTGCAGAAACAAGATGCTAGCAATATAAGCTGGACACCATGGATTAAAAACAGCTTTTGGGGGTTAAAGAGACAACAGTATAGTAAGCCTACACATGGACTTTAACAATATTGATGATATCTAACACTTCTTCTATCTCTTACCATTATGTGTCTGGTACTGATCTAAGCACCATATAAAATAATTCATGTAATTCTTACAACAACCCCAGGAAGTAGGAACTATTATTATCACCCCAATTTTGCAGATGAGTAAACTGAGACACAGGAAGGTGAGTAACATGCCCAAAGTCACACAAATATGCATAAAAGAGAACCAGGATTCAAACTCAGGGCTTCTGGCTCCAGAGTCTGCACACTCAACCACAATTGTACACTAACTTTAAGATCGCTGATTACATAAATATTGAAATGTGAAAATAAAGTGTCTCTGAATTAAAATATATTCTAACTGTTCAATGTAAAAGAGCTTGCCAGGCATGCTTTCCTGTTATTTTTCCAGATGAGGTGAATATATTTTTGTACCTCCATTCCTTCTTTGTTTAGCAAATAGTTACTGAGGGTCTGATCTGGTCAGACAGCAAGAATGTAAAAATACCATCATGATATAAAGATATTCTCCTGAGGAGAATACAGACAAACAAATAATTACAACAGACAGAGCCACCACATGCAACTATGAAGTCATGCACTGCACAATCCTAGCAGGGCACCACATACACTGGAGACATCAAAGATCTGTATCTTCATTAAGACAGGTTGCCAGCAGTTGGAAGTACCATGAAGCATCTTGAAGAAAGACATCTATGGGCTGGCAGCAGCCTAGCTAGTGCGACCAGATGTGCACCGGAGAGGAAGTAACACCCAGGAAGTGGCCAACCCTGTTGGAGAGCAAGGAAGGTTTCACAGAGGAAGTTTACCTTAAGCAGAGAAAGGTGAAGGAGTGGTAAAAGGGCCCCCGATCAGGGGGCATGAAACAAGAGCTGTAGCAGCATGAGTGGGAGGGAAGCCACAGAAAGCAGGCCTGGTAATGGGGGATGGGAGGGCAAGAGGTGTTTACTGCTAAGAAAGTCCCTTGACACCAAGCTGTTGGGCTCGACTCTGCAGGGGAGAGGCTACAGGAAATTCTCTCTGGGACAGAGGGGTGAGCAGACAGGGGAGGCAATGCAGTAGGACCTGCCAGGAGGCTTCTCTGACAGGCAGCAAAGCCAAAGGCCTCCAGGAGCAAGGCAGTAGTAAGCTTGGGCCAAAAGGATGACTTCTTAAAATATTCAGGATGGTTCTTACTTATTTACTAAATCTTACACTAGCTCATTCCAAAAAGGAAGAGGAGGCTAACAAAGATACATACTTTAGAAGAGAAGGAAATAGATGAGGAAATGAAGATAAACAAATAATGATTTTAAGAAAAAAAATAAAGCTGGGATTAAAGCTAGGGCACATACTATCATGCACTAGATATTTCTTCAAGGCAGACATATTTAAAGCAAAGCATCCCATCTGCTCAGCAGAAAGGGAAGCCTGAGTAGCTCCAAGGTCCAGAGTGTCCATGAGGTAAGGCAAAATCTCGAATGAGGGGAACGATGACAGTTTCTAGTAACACGTGCAGCCTCAGAAAGACCTCTCCCACAAATGCTCGGAAAGGGATTCTCTCCAGTGGCTGGTGCTGCAAACATCCTGAGCATTAAGAACAAAAAAACAGGCTGGGCCAGTGGCTCAAGCCAGGCATCCCAGCACTTCCGGAGGCCTGAGGCGAGAGGATCACCTGAGCCCAGCAGGTCGACACTGGGGTGGCTGTGAGCGTGCACTCCAGCCTGGGTGCCAGAATGAGACTCCAACTCAAAAAGAAACCAAAAAAAAGTTTCCAACTTTGAAATGACTTTTTTTATGACATCCAGTAACAAAAGCGATGTTAATAGTCCCAGAAAAAACAGGAAGCAGTCAAAAGAGCAAGCAAGAGCAGTCAAAAGAGCCTCAGCACGAAGGTCTCTGAAGACTACCTTGGCTCAACAGAGAGCTCTCAGGTGGTGATGATCAACCTGGCTAAGGGAGCCGCTCGTGTCAAAGTAAGGGTGGGAGTGTGAGGGGGGCTCAGCCCTGCTCCTTCTCAATCAGCTTCAGCTTACCTGCCCTTTCACCTGTCTCCTGAAGAGAGTGTTAAGTAGTCCCCTTGAAAATTCAAAAAGGTACTGTAGAGAAATAGAGAGATTTTAGGCCACCTCCAGGAACATTCCATCTTAGAACTAAGGCTTTTGGTAAGAAGTTAAAATTTAAAAATTTGATGCAACATTCTTTGTTGCAAACTCAAGTTCAATTGGTCTACTATGTAGCCAAGTAAGGGCAGATTTATTTGCTTTTCTGTTAACCATGATGACAGGGTTTCATTCCTTTTGAAAATCAAGGGTCTCCTTAGCCACAGGGAAGGTGAAGCAAAGTACTGACCCAGGTCCCCAGGAAAACAGTCCCAGTTCTGCTCTGATACACAATGGGGAGACTTCAGCCTCCAGAGGTCAGTAGTTTATAAACCTTTTTCAAAGTACTGAACCCCTCTCTAGAGCCAAAATGCAGTCTGCTGAACACACCAGCGGCTGGTTGAGCTGGCACAGGTTGGAGGCTCCTCCTGTCAGCCTCCCCTCAGCACAGACCAAGGTTTTCAGGAAGCATCACGAGGGGATCACTAGAGGGTTGCAGCCATGGGCAGGGTCCAACAAGTGAAGGGTGGAAGCAGTCAGGTGATACAACTTTAACCTGGATTGCACATCAGAATTAACTAAAGCGCTTCAAAAAAAAAATTAACCAGACCAATTAAAATGGAATCTAAGAGATGGGAGCCAGGTGTTGGTATTTTGGAACCTTCTTGGGTAATCCTAACATGCTGCCAAGCTTGGGAACCAAGGGCATAGCAGTAATCGCATAAAGTAAGCACATAGCCTTTGTTTCGAAGGCTGGTCAGGTGATCCTTTAGGGGGTCCTGGGAAATTAGAGAATACTCCTCTGTCCATGCTACACACACCACTCACTTTCACCACATCTTGAGAGATCTGGGGCCCAGAGCAATAACTGGAACGGATCCTCTTTACAAGGGATTATGGCACTGGACTAGAGGCAGATCACCCTAGGGAGCCAGGTCAGATGGTAGGAGCCTCAAGTAGAGATCTCCCAGCCCCCGAGGTAAAAATCTCTAAGTGTAATAAGAAGTGAACTCAAGTTGGGCTCGGTGGCTCAACCTGTAATCCCGCGCCTTTGGGAGGCTAAGGTGAGTGGATTTCCTGAGTCCGCGGGTTTAAGACCCACCTGGGCAGCGAGACCTCATCTCTACAATAAATCAAAAAAATCAGCCGGGCATGGTAGTGCACCCCTGTAATTCCGGCTACTCGGAAGGCTGAGGCGGAAGGATCGCCGGAGCCCAGCAGATCGAGGCTGCGGTGGCCGGGAGTGGTCACTGCACTCCAGTCTGGGCGACGGAGTGATACTCCAACTCAAAAAAAAAAGAAGTGAGCTCAGGAGACCCTCACAACTAGGGAACCATTCCAAACCCAGCTAAGAAGACAGCCCAACCTACAGATTAAAATCCTTGACTTTTGTGTCGTTTTTAATTGACAACTAGTGTATATATTTATGGGGTACAATATGATATTCTGGTATATAAAGACACTGTGTAATGATTAAATAAAACTAACCGACATATATATCATCTCCATCATCTCACATAATTAGCATTTTTTGTGGTAGAAACTTTGAAATTCACTCTCGGAAGCTTTGAAATATATTATTAAAACTATTTCCCAGAGCAGTAGTGATTTGCTTCCGACAGACAGGAATGGCTTTGGACAGCATATACTACCCATATGAGAAGCCGACTGTTCTGAAATCCATGGTCTGTAATGCAAGTTAAATCTTATTAACTAAAGTCACTATACTGTGCAATAGAACTCAAAAACGTATTCCTCCTTTGTGCCCTTTTACTATCATTTCCCCTCCAAAAATCCTTTATTTTTAAGAGGCATCTTTCTCACAATGCAGTATTTCTGAAACTGGGCTTTGTCTTACAAGCTGAGTCTATTTATTGAAGTGATTCTTTTCTCTAAACCACTATCCCCAAATTGTTAAAACCACGGTTCGTCTTATTAGTACACGAGAAGCAGCATTACAGACAGCTGAAGTTGAAGCAGGGCCAAAATCCTGCCCAGGAACACAGGCCTTCCCAGCAGGCCTATAATACCCCAGGATTCTTCTCTAAAGCAAGACTTTGCCAGACATAACCCTATCCACTTCACCTCCTTTCCTCTGGGTGACACATGCTGTTCTGGCTAGTCCCCTATATGGGTGACTACTATGGGCCAGACACCATGCTGGATGTTTTACATGCACTACTCTTATAATAACCATGAATGGTATATATTATATGTTTGCCTTTTGGGGGGCTAGAAAAAGCCCTCAAGAAAGGTTCTGAAACTTGCCTATGGTCATGCAGCTATTCCATGGCAGAGCTACTACATGCATCTCTCTGACCCCTTTCCACTGAGCCACAGAACCCATGTTACAGACCACGGATTTCAGAACACTCAGTTTCTCATACAGGTAGTATCTGCTGTCCAAAAGCCACTC